AGAAGAAGAAGAAGAAGAAGGAGACGTTTTTTAATTTTTCATTAAAATCACCATTTTTCGACCGTTTTTATCTCCAGAACGGCTTGACCGATTTAAAATCTTTTTGTCTCAAATTACTCGTGGTGATGCCGCCTTTCAGGGCATATAACGTTTGATTCAAAATTTTTTATATTTTAGCAGTTATGCACCTCCCAAAAATGGACTTTGGTGGCTCGGGATAAGAGACTTGTAGCATCTTTCAGTTTTTGAACATGGCTGGAGACACTACCGCGTCTCCTGATCGCATGTTTCTCTTTAGTAGTTTTCAATTTATTGAACCATATTAAAAACATGTTTTAAATTATAATATATATATCATATATACATATGTATATAAATCCAAGAATAAAATTAAACCTTAATAAAATTAATAGCAATTGATATAATAAATTGAAAAAATCACATTTAATTTAATTTTAATTATTAAAATATTAATTCTGACAGATCCTCGTTCTCGATGAACCTACATATAGTATCGACCCTAAGCATGAAAGGCAGATATGGGATTTACTTTTGGTGAGTGTTTTAAGAGAATTTTGTTTTAATGTAAAAAAATAAATTATGTAAAATAGAAAATATAAAATAATGCACAATAATATTTTATAGAATATAAAAAGACATAAAACAATACTAATGGCAACAAATTCCATGGAAGCTGCAGATTTTCTTGCCGATAGGATCGCTATTATTGCAAACGGAAGGATCGAATGTTATGGCTCAAAAATGTATTTGAATCGTCGATATGGTAACATCTGACATAATTTATGTATTAACAAAACTATAAAGTATACACTATATAAAATAAAATTAATTTGTTAACTAATATTAAAAAATTTTTTTACGTAAATCTTGTTATTACTTAATAAAATTCTTCTAAAATTATTTGGAATTAGGGATCGGTTACGTTTTGAGTTTATTGGTACAAGAAGAATGCAATGTGGAGCAAATTCGTACAGAAATACAAGAATTTTCAGCAGATCCAATTACTCTACGAAGCATGATGGGTTTAGTAATAAGATTTGACGTGCCAAGGAATAGTCGATTCACCAAATTACTTCAACATTTAGAACTTAACAAAGAAGAATTAAAAATTGTATCGGTTGCATTGAGTGCTGCTAGCATCGAGGGTCAATTTCTTAGGTAATCACGTTTAGTTTCAATGTTTACTTTTAATTTAAAATTATTAATAAATTCCTACTTATATATATAAATGTGAAAGCTAATATTTTTTATACATGTACACATATGTATAATTATGAAAAATTATTCTACTTTTAATTTTTAATTAAATAAAAATGAATTTTAGAAATTATAAAATTGGCTGATATCATAGAACTAATTATTGTTCTGTATTTAGAATAGGTTTAGAAAGCCAGTTTAAAGAACGCAGTGTAAAATTACCAAACAACAAATATGAACTTATTGTGCAACAAAGACGACGGCACTTGTTACAAACAGGTAAAATTTTAACATATTGTGTTTGTCAAGTTATAAAATATAAAAATAATTAATACGTTAAACAGGGCGAATAAGAGTCAAATTACAATTTAAAATCTAAATCTGATAATTTATTCTAATATTATAATATTGCGAAGAATATCACGTAATTTTTGGCGTTTCTCGTCCCGGCTTCCACTACTGGACTCATCAGTAAGGCATTGTAGTGGAAGCCTACCTTATACGCCTTGGTAAGTTATTAAATCGAGATTCTATATAAAAAGAGATATACGCGTGTCTCAGCACTTACGAGAATTTACGAATATCGATAGACCTCTGATGGCGAGTCGATGTACTGATATTCTTCGCAATATTTAACCAAAGTAGGAAATAACGTTCTATTAATATAATATATGTAGTCCCCCAAATTGCGCGCCGAACAATTATCGGTCTTACAACGCAACTCTAATAATCTGATTTTTAAATATCTCCTCTCCCTAATTTGTGTGAAATCTTTAATTTATAAAATATAAAATAAAATAAATAACAACATAAATACAAATAATTGGAAATTGTCTATCTATAATAACTTATGTAAAATAATCTAGTGAAATAATCTAATAATATGTTATTTATATTGTTATTTAAACTAATAATACGTATATAATATCATAAATTCTTGATCAAACTGTGCTGAAATATAATTATTAGCTAAATCATGGAAACGTTTGACCGGTGACACTTTATGGCGGCAACAAATTCTTGCGATGTTTTTCAAGAAATTATTACATATCGCTTCATCCTGGAAAATATACTTGTTTTCGGTAAGTTTTTCGTACTGCCAGAAAAGGTATAACATATTATGTTTTTAAATAATCGAAACCATTTTAGATAACTATAGCGATTGTTACTCTCATTCTGGCTACCATAATCGCCGAGTTGAGCAATTTCACACTCTTTGAAACAATGTAAGTTAATCTTGTTTGTCTTATGTTGTGATAAAGAAAGCGAAACTATTTTCTTTCATGCAAATATATAAATGAAATAAATTAGTTCAGCGCTATTTCATTATTTTATAATAATTCAGCTATCTGTTAATAATTATCCAAATTCGCTGTTATTAAAATATGTATATATTGTATAATAGTATCTACTTTTAATGAGCATCATAAGATACTACTATTATACAAAAAAAGTTACTAATTTGGCTTTTATTTTTAAATATACAAAATTTTGTATCAAGCAAATTGATAACATGCTTAATTATTATTTTTATCAAGTAAATTGATAAAGATGCTTAATTATTTCTTTAGTGAGAGAGTAATGAATTTGACGAGTTACGTGGACAACAATTTTCACGTGCTGTATTATGCTGCCGATGATAAATCCATAAAAAATTTTCTTATGACATTGTACATTACTAGTCAAACGTACAGTGAAAGGCATAATTATCATATCTCTAAAAACATTTCGGCCATGGATTTAATGTCTCAGCCTGACTTGCATTCTATAGAGGTATCAAGAAAGATATTTTAAAAATTATGCTAAAATTTTAATTTTATAACAGTTTAGGGATCGTTACGTGATGTCTATCGACATGTACACAGATGGAGGCGTACAACTTATGTATTCGTCCACTGCAGTACATAGTGGGCCAATTGCATTAAATTTACTGCATAATGCATTACTGCGTTACCATTGTGGTTCAGACAATTGTCGGATAAAATTGGCTAGTCGACCTTTACTTCGTCCGGGCCAAGTAATATTTTTAATACTAATTAGTGGATTAAATCATATTGATTTTAAGAATATTAAGCTATTTTTTCATCACGTTAATTATATATTTTTGGCTCACTTACTTTTACATATAAAATTAAAGGATTACTTATAGAATATTATATAACTAAAATAAAGAGGCATCAATGTTCGATAAAATGTATTTACCATTATGACGTATAAAGATTATTTATTCAAATAAGAAAATGAGAATATTTTGTATTCTCCACGTCCTTTGTTAGTATTTAGATATATATATATATATATACGTAATATACGATATTTATAGTGGCAACATTTATTGGTTCATCCACGCAACATACGAAATTGGGAAAACGCTGCTATAATAATAACTTTGTTCCTTCTTCTTCCCTCTATCGACATGGGTATAAGGGAACAAAATACACGCTCAAAAATGCTGCAAATTAATGCGATTGGTATGTCTACGCGAATCTACTGGATCCCGACGTATATTATTGATTTCCTTTTGTATGCGTTCTCTATAATATTCTTTGGAATTACTATCTTAAGTGTCTATCACCGCACATTGCAGTTCTCAAATTTAGAGATTGGTAAGAATTTTAAAATATGCAAATTGTTCATCTGTAATTAAATTTCAATTCTGTTTAAAAATATTTTTTTATTTTTGTATTTTAAACTTTATTTAAAATTAACATTTTTAATATTTCGAGAATTTTGTGATAGCGTAGAACAGTATCATCATGTAACGAAACTATTAAATATGTAATTTATAGATATGTGTTGCGCATAAAGATTAAAAGTTTAAATCTAACAGTGCCTGTGATTAATCGATATTTCAGTTCAAATGCTATTGATATTTCTATGTTACGGAGGATGCGTCATTCCATTAGGTTATTGCGTACAACTTTTCACGAGAAAACCGGAGAATGCGTATCTAAGTGTGATAATGATCAATATTGTAACTAGTTAGTAATTTAATAGATGGTTTAATTTTATATTGTCATTTTTAAAGTTTACTGTAAAAAATAACATTTCATTTAATTCTGTATACAAAATGTTTTTACTTAAGTAAAATACGTTTTGCAGTGTTATTGGTAAATGGCTCTGTTATATTTCCATTAATATTTCGAGCACTCAGCAGCATTGAAAGATACATTCTTGAAGCTCTTGTACATATATTTCCACCATACATTCTAACTTGTGCTATAAGCAATTACATTACGCTGAATTCATATAACAGACAATGCAGTTATTTTAATACTTGCAATACAGAATTTTATATTGAAGATCCATGTTGTCGTAAGCTCGAAAAATTATTGTTATCATAATAAATTATTATTTCTGCTAAACAACATTGATTTGACATTTTAGAAAATTGTAAAAGCAGAAGTTGTTACAAACATTTGGATATAATGCTAATTAAACAATCCAGCTTTGAGTATAATCACTCAATCACAGATGATATACTTTTAATGGTATCCCAAATGTTTGCCTTTTACATATTGTTAGAGGTTTTTGAAGAAAAAAATCGTAGAAAATGGTATAGTTATTTTATGCCTCCCATAAAAGATGATGATACTTTAGAATCAGAAATTACGCAAGAAAAGAAGCGAGTTGAAGAATACATGAAACGTAAAAAAAAAAACAATATAAAAATAGAGAAATTATCTGTATTAATATAATATTACGTCATAAAATTCATGAATTTGAAACATATAAAATTTTTTGTATATGCAGATTATGACGAAACAAAATTGCTTCCATTGCGAGTTGCTCTCGTAGTCCAAAATTTAACAAAAGAATACGCTGAAAAAACGGTAGTTCAAGGAATCAATTTTAGTGTAAGCGAATTTATGTAATTTTAATTAAAAAATTAGTTTCTATTTTTTTTTCCTTTTTATTACTGTGTATATATTTCAATATTAAATACACAGATATTTTATTTAGATCCACAATCAAGAGTGTTTCGGTTTGTTAGGATTTAACGGTGCGGGAAAATCAACGGTATACAAAGCACTGGTGGGTCAAATAAAAATATCAGCTGGAAAAGCGGTAATACATGGATACGAGTTCACAAGAGATCAAGACATGGTGAATATAGTTTTATTATTTTTTAAAAAGTGATAAAATTGTTACAAACATATCATTAGATGTTTAATAAAAAGCATGTAATTCTTTTGTGTCTAGCACTTTACAATAGTAAACTTTCTATTTACTTTTATATAACTATTATAGGAAACTTTAAGTTTTTTATTTTTTTTAATATAAAAACATGATTTGTATCTATATATATAAAAGTTTACATATTTTAAATTCAAGTTTGTAGGTATGATAGGATACTGTCCACAAATTAATGGACTGAGTGATTTTATGACAGGAAGACAATACTTGCAACTTCACGCGGCACTTCGCGGTGTTCCGTATGAAAGCATCAACGAAGAAGTAAACAAATGGCTTGATGTATTAGGTAAAAATATAATTAAAAACAAATTAGCAATTTCTCGCTTTGTTTAAAATAACTCAAAGTATTAATGATAAAAATAATCTTTAATGATAAAATTCATAATTTAATAATTTATCACGAATAAGAACCTGTGTGTGGGATTATGCTTATTTTATGAAATTATTGTTTTGATAAAATTCAATTTATAGATATGTTGGATTTTGAGAATCTGAAAATTGCTCACTACCCATGGGGAATTCAAAGAAAACTTTGTATACTGCAAAGTCTTATCGGCGATTTACCGATGGTATTTATGGACGAGCCTTCCTCTGGGATTGACATAATGACAAGACACGCAATCTGCGAAATTTTGCATCAAATACGGGAAATGGGAAGATCTATATTAATCACTACTCATAGGTTAGTTAATACAAGTTTAATAAATAATTTTACCGCATAACAACCTGTAAATATAGCATTAACTGAAAATACGTAGGTGGGTTTGCCGTTGGGCATACGCACAGCAAGTCTGCATAAACTATATAAAACAGCTACTGAGGCCGGTATTCATACACGGAGGTAACCGTGTATTCATAGGCCGGTATTCATAGTCGATTCTTATTTCAAGACTGCTTAAGTAATCTCTTAAGATACTAAAGCGGCCCTCTGATTGGTTCGTAACTCTTCAAGACTGAACTTAAGACGGTCTTGAATATAAGAACTGACTATGAATACCGGCCTGAATGTCCTTATTGTGACAGCTCGTGGCGTATATTGGAGTTAAAAAGAAAAAAATAATAATAATATCTAACTATATTAGTAACGCTCTATAAGAATAAATCAAAATAAATCAGTTGAAGAGAAAAGAACGTTTAATTTACAAACATAAAAATAAAAATAATTACATAAACAAACGTTTCGACGCTGATCAGGTCGTTCTCAATGAGTAAATAGTACATTGTGTAACGGTGGAGGATAGTTGTTTATAGCGACCTATAAACAAATATACCCCCACTCGCTACACATAGAATTTTTCATTACAAGTGCTCGTCGTAACGTGCCCTATACAGCAACGTTTTTGCGCAGAAAAGTGGGATTAGAGAAATAACTCAACGGCTTGAGGTATTGGCTATTTACCGCACGCAAAAGCGTTGCGGTATAGGGGGCACATTACGTGCACGCGTGATGAAAATATATTTTAATATTACAAAATTATTGTGTGAAAATCTTTTCGCTTGTGAAGATGACTTGAACTGAGTCGAAATGTCCGGACAAACCTTTATTATTTTAATTTTTAATTTTCAACTGTTTTATATCTATTATTGTTATTTTTGTATTTGTAATTTACCTTGGCTCGTTGCCCTTTTTATTAATATTTATTTTTATTTTTATGCTTGTAAATTAAATGTTCTTTATTTATACGACGTAACTGGCTTTTGACCCATCAACTGATTTTTATTTTGATTTAATAAATAAAATACATATTTGATTCAATTTTGAATTTCAGTATGCGAGAAGCAGAAGCAATGTGTTTGCGCGTTGGTATTTTAGTTAACGGCCAATTTACTGCAATTGGATCTTGTGAATATCTGAAAGCAAAATATGGCCGGAACTTTATATTAAACATTAAAATAGTACCGGGATATCAGTTTACGAATCTTGAGAAGATTAAGAAAATTATTAACGAAAGTTTTCCAACAGTAAGATTCAAAGACAGTTATTTGGTAAGTGGAGAATATAATTTCATGTTTTAATTTGACTTACTATTTAATAATTTAGTTTCTATATAATTAGAAATTATATTTCAAATATGTTTGTTCAAATATGTATATTTCAAAGATTTGATAAAGTATAAACTTAAAAAAAAAATTTATAAATATATTAATTTTTCATCACGCGCGCGGCAGGGTGTTCTTAAATACGAATTGGAGAGTGACATTTCGTATAGTTATGTATTTGATAAACTTGAAAAGCTAAGACAGAGATACGTATGGATCACAGACTTCTCAGTTACTCAACCGTCAATGGATGAAGTATTTTTAACTTTAGCAAAGAAGCAAAAGGAATCTCATAAGAAATTAACACTTTATGAACGTCTACGTTCGTGGATTATAAGTGTATACATCAAATATAAATAAATTTTGTTATCACACAGCAATTATTGTACATATAACTATGTGGATGTGTTTTTTTATTGCTGTATAAACGTTATTTTTATGTTTTGTACATTATGCTTATTTAAGCGATATTAATATTTATCTTAAATTTTATCCATTAATATTGTCTATCGGAATACATTAGATATTAATTCAACGCACTCGATATTCGCATATATGCTCTATAAAATTTTATTTACCAATATTATATTAACATTTTTAACATAATTATAACTACAAGTATTTAAATACATAAATAAAAGTAATAACAATGATCGCAGTAATGTTTTTTGCTATTGAAGATTAATGATAATATATGGGAACAAGTATAGTTTCTACCTTTTATTTGATTTTAATTAAATCTTGTATATCTTTTATATTTTATTAATATCTGCCGCGCAAATACCAGCTGCTATTATCCATTATTCATTGCACTTATTTATTGCAACGCACTGAATAATAATAAATATAGAATTGTGAATGAATAAAATTGTACGTTCGATAAAATAGTTCATGTTTATGTACTGAATGCCGCCTGTATTACCGATAAAATTATAGCGTTTTTGACGTTTTCGTTCCTGTCTAATTTCTTCGCAATAGTTTCTCAGAATAAAAATTTCTTCTCCTCGGTTTAAATATTTAGGCTAATGTATCTGCCCCTGGTGTATTTTGTATTCAAAGCTGGAAAAGGTATAAAATCATAGATTTCTTTATCCATTTAACCTCAATATGGCGATCAACGCTGAAGATAAAAATAGATAAAGAAATCTGTAATTTCATATTTTTTCCAGCTTTGAAAACACAGTATAGACCAGGAGCAGATACATTAGTATGAATATTTAAATCGTGGAAAAGGAATTTTTATTCTGCGAAACTATTATGAAGAAATTAGACAAGAACGAAAATGTCGAAAACGCTAATTTTATCGATAATACAGGCGGGTCCAGCATCACCTAAAAAAAGTTGACAATCAGATCTGCAATAGTGCAAACAAGAAGACTAGAACCAGGAGAGTCAACATAGCGTGGTGGGGGTCAAATAACGTCCGCGGTTATTCACACAACAGTGGCATTGCACATTGTGTGAAAGTTTGCGCATGCGCGCATCGGTTGTAACCAAGAAGTTCTAGTGTTCTTAAACCTTTGCGTTATATAGCCCAAAGGTTAGAGTATCGATCATGAAACTTTTTTCCTAGGATGGAAAATAAAAAGTGAAAAATTTCTCCATTAACTACAATGGTAAAAATTTTCACTTTTCATTTTTTATCCTAGGAAAAAAGTTTCATGATCGATACCTAGAACTACGCGCGCGCTGTTCAATTGAATGGGAAAGTGACAGTTATAGAAATATTTAATGAATCGATCGTGTATTGAGTTCGATAGGTACGTGAAGATGTCTGTACAGAGCGACAGAGAGGACTAATGAAGCGCATGAGTGGGGGAAGTTATCCGCCGTCACTTTTTGCCTCATCCCCTCTACCGCTTTTGGCACCGAGTTGACTCTCCTGGTTCTAGTCTTCTTGAGTGCAAACTACCTAACCGACGATCGTTTATGTCGGTATTCTGCGATTATCCTGGAGGCCTACTAGGTCTGTAACTTACCAGTTAGTGATGATAAATTACTAATTGTGACTCAAACATATTTCTTCGGTATCTGCAATATTTATATTTAATACAATATTTAGACTAAATTAGAAATTTTGTAAGATAAAGCAATATCGTATTTATTAACGATAGATAAAAAAATATTGTCTCACATTTATTAATTATTTAATTAAAGTCATATTTATCTAAATTTAAATAAAGTTTTACACATATTCAAAATAAAATAAAAAATTAACGTAACAAATAATGAATCATGAAATAAATCTGCATTAAGCGGCTTATACATTTGCATAAATGTTTGAAAATCGTTTAAAACACGTTGTATTATTTGCGCCTTTCCAACAAATGATTGATTGAAACGCAGAGATTGCGGCGTGGCAATGTACTTCTATCACAACATTGTTAATAGTATTATATAAAACGCGACTATCGATCACGCGTGTGTCTCGAGTGACGTTCAGTCATTCTCTTCCTCTTTCGCTCGAAGAAAAGTACGCGCGCGATAATATATGAAAGTATATATCCCAGTGCCCCGAGACACGCGCCCATTTACACGAATGTAAATAAACGAGGCACATTCATTGTTATCTCTTAACAATGAATTATTCGAGCGAGCGCGTATTATCGGTCCAACCTTTGAACTGTAAGAGAGGAGTTCTCCCCGCGAAAAATCTGTTCCCCTTATACCTCCCACTCTTAGTGATAAAGGAACCCTTCGTCGTTCCGACCACTTAGACACCCGTGCGTGCACCGTGACGTCGATTATACCGGTCATTAAATCCTGATGCGACTAGGAACCGCATCGAGGCCGGCAACACCTGACGCGGCCTCTAATCGAAAGGAGACAATCGCGACCGAGTCACGGAAGGAGGTATGGCAACGTAATTACGAGTTGTAATGACACGAAATCTGGATATTAATGATACCGACACTTCGTAGTCCAGTCTATCTTTGTGTCGAAAAGCACGAACAAAGTTTAATTCGCTTTAAATCTCATACCGTCTTCTTCGAGACACCGCGCGAGAAAATAAATCTCCACGAAATTCTCAACATAATCATAGAGCAACGTCGCAATTCAGCCATTTGCGTCATAATAACAGTCTGTGTGATCAAAGTAATTTTTTCGCTATTGTAAGGTTGCTTCGATAATATTTCTTCTTTCTGACGACGTTTTATCTCTCCATCTATGTATTCTTTATATAATATTCGACATTCTCGGAAACTACTTATTGTACGAGAAACAAAGGAATATAAAACACGATTAGATTTAAAACACGTAGAACAAGTATTCCTAAGTATTCATCTTTGCTAAAGAAAAATTCTCTTTATCGTCATCGTGTCAAGCACCGCTTTTTCCGCCAACAATATCTACTATAGCGTTCGTTAATTAATGCTGTACTTCTTAGTACACTGGAAAAAAAGATTAGCTGAATATAGCATAGCATTTTTTTAATTGATTGCATTAGCCTATCAAAATCCTATATTGACATTGCGGACAGGTTTAAGCAATTAAAAATTGATTGCAGCCAATTAAAAATGTTATGCCATATTTTAAAATAAGTATAATAGTAATTATGATATGCATGATAGTAATTATTATCTAAATTACTAAAGCACAGTCAATTTTTTCTTTCAGTAGACACGAAAACAATGATTTTGCTGAAGTATCTAAAATTTAGATACATACAGATCTGAAAATAATTTTACTTGGATTATGAAAATAATTATGTACAACTCATTAAAATATTAAAAGCATTGTGTGCCGTCAATGTTTAAGCGTTCTACATAATTATTTTAATGATCTAACAAAATTATTTTCACATCCTTTTGATATTTCAGTAAAAAACCGTTCTTTCAGCGATGTAAGTAAGCCAACGCGATATACCATTAATTTTGTGTACACATATATACAGCTGTGCGCGGTTATGTGTCACGAATATATTTTGTCTTTTCTTTCTTACGGCTGAGGAAGAAGAAGAGACAGACTGACTCGTCTGTCTATGCCCGATATCAGCGGGAATGATAAAACTGAATCGTAAATACGGCATGTAATTCCCGCCGAGCGAGAGTATATAAATCAGGGATGTAATCAGGGATGTAATTTCCATACGAACGGTCCCGACGAAGAATCTAAAGGTGTACAGATCTTATTTCATTGCGTATAGTGCACACAAGTGGATACATTGATAATATTATAAATAGTACAAGATCAGAATTATAAAAGCATTTTGTTTAAACCGCAGATAATCCATCGTATTAATAATTATAGTCCTGTTAAATCGACGAAGAAGTATAGAAGAGTCGAGAAGAGAACGTCGTCTTTCTCGAATAGCATCGGTATCTTTCGGGAGCAACGAGCTAATCTCTTCTTGTGCAACAAAAATGAAACGGTGCCTGCGGCGAGGTTAATTAGCAAAAATCATGAGGGAGCAGATAAGACAGTTTCCACTTCTTTCTCTTTGCTTTTCTATCTCTCTCGTTCTCTTTCTCTCAGAACATCTCGTCGCTCCTCTTTCCATTCTAAGTCATCCCACTTTCTTCTTCTCCTACCGCCTCTTAAATCGAAGGCTGGAGGGAACTCCTATCGAACGAATAAAAGGCTTTTCGTCTGCGACCGGCGACGAAGCCGGCTGCAATAAAAGCTTAATTTATAAGCCGACCTTCGACCTCGCCTTGGTAAACGAGGGGTGAGCAGTTATCTTTACATAAACGCGGATAAATGGTTAAAAACAAGCAGCCGTAAAAAAATAGAACACAGATAAAATAATAAATTTGCAGTTTTGTCAAAAAAAAAAAAAGGAAAAAAGAAAAAATATTGTACACTTATCGGAGACAACTTATAGGTAGACAATTATAGGTAGTTAATAATATAGATATTAAAATTAATCCGCAACACACACTGCAGATGTTGAAGAATCACACGTTGTCTAATCAAAAGCAAAATGAGTATAGAGGGATTTTAAGGATCGACTCGTTATTCCCGGGATGACACATAATACGATCGTAATTTCGAATTTTTGTTTCCGAGTGAAAAGCCGGTGCAACTCCGATGTTTTTGGAATCATCGGCCGCGCCCACGGCGCGACACGGTTGTTCCCCGGGAATGTGAATGTCGTTGATTGTAGCGGGAACGCGGGCTTCCGGCTCCGTCGCGTCGTTGAAGTCGCGGTCGAAACTCAAACGGCATGTAATCCCTCGTTATATCCCGAGCCGCAAGAATTATCTTGCTTAATGTAGGCGCAATTGCGCGTACCGTCGATAATAAAATGGACAGCACATCGTTAGTTCCCTTCTCGCGGTCATTCGATTACACGCTGATTACCAGCAAATTACATACTAACATTGCCTTTAATATTACGTACCGCTACTTTTTGTACA